GAGAGAGAGAGAGAGAGAGAGAGAGAGAGAGAGAGAGAGAGAGAGAGAGATCCGAGCGCGATCAGCTCGTATTTAGGGCATTTTTATTTTTTATTTTTTTCGTTGTATTTGACACAATATCTGGCATAGTGACACACGAATGACACACCGTGTTTCTCCCCGTCTCCCAAATCAGACACACGCACACGCACGCACAAAGAACAACGTCTGATACATTATATTTCTCATAATTTCTGCAATTACCCCTTAATACAACGTGAACTTGCACTGCATGCGCCCGAAGATGTATGCCAAAGAGTCGTAATCAACCGTATTCCTCAAGTGCAGGATGACCTTCAAGGTGCTCTTCCACGTCGACTACTTAGCGGATCCAACGACTCCCAATCATCTGCATTGCCATCTGCTAATTCTACGACATGTGCTACTCCACCTACAAGAGTGGGATGTCCATGATCAAAACATCTCGCTTTTGTCCGCTTCGGCTGATACCAAGCTGTTCAGCTCGTCAGCGTACTGTATCATGTCAGCCAAGTCGTACGGCTTCTTGGGCGGGATGACATTACCGATTTTGACCAACGCGTACTCGTCGTTGGCGATGGTGGTGTTGTACCATTCCAACTCCTGGGAGTCGAAGCCGTGACCATGGCCCCCGCTCTTCTTCTTCAACACGTCCCGCCAGAAGTGCTCCGTGAACTTCCTGTGGATTCTCTGCGTGTCCTCGTTCAAATTCAGCTGGCCGACGTGCGGGTACGCGAACCATTTCGGGATCTTGATGAGGTGACCTGCTGTGCTGCTGATGCTCGCCGACGGCATCTGCCTCCCCTTTTCCGTCGCCGGGACCACCACCGTCGGGATATCCTCGTACACGTGGAACTCGTACATCTCCTTCCCGAACGCCCTCATCCTGAAGAGCGTGGTGCAGTCGGGAAACGCGCTCCTCACGTCGAGGATCGTGTACTTGTTGACGTCATCGGCCTGGGCCCTGGCGTTGACGAAGTGGTAATCCAGGATGATCTGGACCTCCGTCTTCAAGAGGTCGTCCTTCAGGGAGCTGATGATCCTCTGCACCCTCGGCTTCATAAGGACAAAGGCGGAGCACCAGATGATGAAGAGGAACGCCTTCCTTGTCTCCTTGGGTTTCCCGTCGAAGAAGTGAGCTTTGAACAGCTCCCGGTACACGCGGGAAGACCTCCGCAGCGTCCTGAAGTACGTCGCGTTCTTCGCCACGAACGGGACGATTTCGAAGCACACGGCGAGTATGCTCGTGGTCTGGGCTGCGATCTCCGACCACGTCATGTCCAAGACGGACTTGGTGTAGGCGTTGACGTCTGCAGTGGCTGCCGGGAACGACATCTTGTTGTTCTTCTTCTTGTTGTTTGTTGGTGCTGTTGTTGTTGTTGCAGTCCTTGACGTCGCTGTTGCTGCTGCTGCTGCTGTTGTTGTTGTTGTTGTTGTTGTTGTCTCTCCTGTTGTTTGGTGGTGGTGACGCTGTCCTTGCCGTCCTGGTGTAGTCGTTAGTGTAGCTGTCTCTTATACACATCTAGATGTGTATAAGAGACAGGTCCTTGCCGTCCTGGTGTAGTCGTTAGTGTAGTGCTTGAGCTTGCTGTTGCTGTTGTTGTTGTTGTTGCTGCTGCTGCTGCTGTTGTTGTTGTTGTTGTTGTTGCTGCTGCTCCTGCTGTTGTTGTTGTTGGTGTTGGTGAAGCTGTCCTTGGTGTCCTTGACGGAGCTCTAGTTCGTGTTGCCGGTGCTCCTGCCCTTCCAGTTCCTCTCTTTCTTGGCGGCGCCGTCGGACCGGTGCTCTTCTTTGCCTTCCTAGACCACAGCTCCTTGGAGCTGGGTCTTCTTCCTCTTGCTCTTGCTCTCGCTCTGCCTCCTGGCCGGGGAGCTGAGGGAGACGGAGGCGTCTGTCTGTCTCACCTTCTTGGACGACTCGGACAGCTCCTTCCACCTCACCTTGTCGCTGTGGGTCTTCTTCCTCTTGCCCCCTGGCTACGACAGAGGCGTCCGTCTCCTTCAGCACCCTGAACAAGAAGTTGCTACAGACCCCGATGAGCTCCGTTCTTTAACTCCTCGATGTGGCTGGCCAACCTGCCGTAGGCGTCGAAGGTGTTCTTTTGAACTCGAAGCGGTCGATGTGGACCACCCGGGGCTAGGTCCCACTAGCAAAGAGGATTGGATTGAACACCGGAATCTGGACTTGTGTTGGGAAAGGTGCAGACTGTCGAGATTGAACTGCTTTTCGGCATCTCTGCTTAAGACACGTCCAGATTCAGGATATTTCTCCAGTCTTCTTTGCTAGTGGGACCGGGCCCCCAAAGGGATCGCAGAGCAAGGCGGCGTTGGCCGAAATGACGCTTTTCGATCGAGATGGCGATCTGCCTGCGCGAGTTCTCCCCGGGGCCAAGTCCCACTACGGTAGCAGAGTTGAAGTTTCCTCAACACCCGAATCTGGACGTGTTTGTGGAGAGGTGGGGTTGAGGAAACTCAACGCAATTTTCTGCACATGTTCAGAAAACACGTCCAGATTTGGGCGTTGCGGACACTCAAGGCTGCCAGTAGGACTTGGCCCCCGGTGGTCTTCCTGCAAAAACAACTCGAGCCGACGGAGAACTTGAGAACTTGACCTGGTAAGTTCCCACTTGGACCGATTAAGACATTCTGGCCGTTGATCTTCAATATCTACGGTCAATATCGCTTAATTCGTTAAGTGGGACCTAGCCCCTGGTTCTCGAGCTCGAGTTCGAGCTCTGGAAGGCCAGCTACCGCAAGAGGGTGGTCGACCCCGCCCACCGCAAAAGCTGGCACCACGAGTGTCATCAGAACTGTTGTCCTTCAACTGCCCGATGAGGTTCAAGATCCTCTGGCACTCATCCCAGTTTTTTTTTAGGTAGGCGGGTCGAGCACCGTCTTTCTTGCTGGAGATCCAGCTCCTCGGGATGTCCATGAGCACGAATTCCTTTGATGGGGGGCCCTTCGACAGAACGAAGAGCCGTCAAAACTAGACGGGCGTTGCCGCACGGCACACGAAACGAAAAACGAAACGAATGTATCTTCCCACAGAAAATGGCCAGGTTCATCGGTTTGCTATAAATAGTAACCGGTGTATTTCGCCACCTTTGGTGGGCAGATGCACTCGTTTCATTTTCGTTTCCTGTGCCGTGCGGCGAGACCCGTAGACTGCTTAGTGTGCTCAAACCACCGTATTCTTTAGTAGAATGAGAATAGTAAGGCGGCACTTGAGTTACGCCACTTGAGTAGGCACTCAGCTGCCTACTCAGCTGGATACTGATACCACGCATGGCCTGGTGGCGCAGCCAGGACGGGGGGGGAACCGTGGAGCTCATACAAACCTGTCCCATCTCACCTTGCAGGTGGAGACTATATGCCCTCAGTAGTCCCTCGGTAGAACGCGAGACCTGGGGCCAAGTCTCAGCACCACTCGCCATCCGACAACATTGTGAATGCAGCTGGACAACGTAGCTGTCTTGGTGCACTCGAAATGACGACAGACATTCCCCAAACGGAAAAGCAGCCACTACACCTTGATCCGCCCGACAAATCGCAGGCTCACCCTTCGACAACTCGACCAGCCTTCGGCACGGCAACTCGACCAGCCCTCACGCTACCGCCAACCCACCATGTCCGTTCCCGCGCCGGCGCAATTTCAAAACCTATCTTCGTCCGCCCCGTCCCACGCCCGCGCATTCTCGCTCTCCACTCTCCAAAGACCCTAGCTCTCACGCACTGCAATAGACATACTTGCCTACACAGCCCAACGCTGCATCGAGGACCTGGCGAGCCCGATCGACGGGAGGGACTACGGTAGCCGGCAGCTAGCAGCACGGGACTGCCAGGGCGTGGAGAAGTGCAGACCGGGGGGGGGGGGGGGGAAGTGAAAGGGCGAGGTGAGGATTTGACACGCGAATCCGGGCGTGTTTGTGGAGAAGTGCAGACAGTGGGGGGGGGGGGGGGGAACTGAAAAAAACATAGACTGGGCGAACTGATACCCTCGATTTCAGTGGAGAGCGAACGGTCGGATAACATAAAAACATTCCTATATCTGGAAGGCAACAGTACAACCGGACGCACGCCACCATTCTCCCGCGACCGCCGCCACGCTCCCTGGCAAGACTACCGGTCGGTGCCCGGTTGGCGACCGCAACCCTATTTCTAGCGCAACGACGCCCTCTAAACCCACTTACCCGGTCGACGACATTCCCCATACGGAAACCGACCGCTAAACGACAAAAGACATCCATCTATATGCAGCCATCCTGGCTGCGAACTGAGCACGAATTTGGGCTTGCAGTAGGTGCTCCCAAATAGCGGCCTCGTTATTTTTTTTTTTCAGTACCTTTGTCGGTTCAAAAATACTGGGCCTCCGACCTTTCAGGAGGCCGAACGAAATGACAGCCGCCGATCAGATTTATCAACGGCAGCCGTTGTCTGGCCCGGCCTCTTGAAAATTCGGAGGTAGACCAAAACTTGTCGAAACCGGATGGCAAAGGTACTAGTGAAACGACCCCACGTGCAGGACTCATTTGCCTTCACACAGAAAATGGACTGCTTGAGGGCAACTTTCTGTACCGGACACAGGGAGAATGACCGTATGTTTGACTCGGGGGGAAAACGGTAGCATGCATACGACCCTGTCGGACAGCCATAAAGGACGGATAGATACGAGAGCACAGCCATGAAGGAGGGGTGTAGATATAAGAGAGCATGAAAGGAGTAGCAGGGGAAATCTGCCCGCTAAGGGGTGAAGGGCAGCGCTGTGAGCAAGGGATTAGCTCAGATGCTTAGGCATGCAAGTGGTATTCAGGAGGTAGTGGGTTCAATCCCCACTGACCACCTTGGGCAGTCTTGGTGACAACGAGCTGAGATGGTTGGCTTGTTCTCCCCGTTTGGTAGTGGTAGGGTCTTTGGCCATCACCGGTGTGCGTGTGTGTGTAAACTTTGTACAATTTCTTCTTCTTCTTCTTCTTCTTCTTCGCCGTCGTCGTGTCTTCTTCTTCTTCTTCTTCTTCTTCTTCTTCTTTTTGTACAATTTGTGGCCTGCCAGAGGAATACGAAGCAGACCGACAGGCCTGCGCACATGGAAAAAAAAACTAAAAAAATTGGTTCCAAAAAAAGAAAAAGGAACCAGACTATTAAGGGCAATCAAGGGTTTAGGGTTTTGGCAGCAGTTGCGGGGAACTGATTTTTTTTTTTTTTTTTTTTTGTATAAGACTAATTCTTTTAAGCCCAACCCATTGTTTGGTTTTAAACGGCCAGTACATGGGCCCAGCCTTGCTGAAAATGCAACTCGTCACCAACAAAAAAGTTTCAGAGCCTCGCCCTAGGGGACCACAATGGCTGGCAGTGCCAGCCAAAAAAGAAAGAAAGTGAGCGGCTGGTGGTTTGAAAAAGCTCGGTGCGCAGTAAGGCGCCTCCAGGCCCGGGTGTCATGGTGGTTTAAGAATGTTTATTTGGGAGGGATAAGAGGGGGAGGGAGGGGGGGGGGGGACGATAGGGGGCAGGGATTTGCTCAAAAGGATGGCCTGACAGTCCATCCTTCCCGAGAGGAGAAATCAATGCTGCCGGGGTTCCCTGGGCCGTTCTTTTTTTTTTTGGGGGGGGGGGGGGGGGGGGGGAGAATCTTCCCTGCAGGTTACCACTTACGGGGGTGGAAAGAGCATCCCCGTCAAGTGGGCCTGGTTCGGCCTAACATGGGGAAGTGTGGACAAGAGTTGTGTTCATATCATTTGGCTTGCCGGTGGAATAGGAACTCGACTGCTGCTAGAAGGAGATTTGGAAAAAAAAGGAAAAAAAGAAAGAAAAATTAACCAGACTGACGCTCCTCAGAATGGACACGGAGCTGCACCCATAAGGACCTGTTTGTTGAAAATACATAAGTAAATAAATTGTTAAGTTATATCGGACTATAATCCACTGATCACCTTCCTTGATGGCATCCTTTCATTTCTCTCCCTGTGTTAATCCTCTGCAGGCTTGGAGACAATGAAGCTGGTCCTGTCTTACTCCTCTAGACTACCCTCCTCCCCTGAATAGAATGCACATTGTATCTCAACTGATAGTTGCCCCAAATACAGCTATAATGACCGTGCGTTCTATTCGGGGGAAGACGGTACCAGGTTGAGGTTCTACTCTGTGTTTGGTGTCGTCTGCTCTGATTTATCGACAATGGTGAATTCTCAAGAATCCTCGCCTGATCGGCTGCTGCACAGTTTCCAGGTCAGTGTCAGACAGAAGTCTCTGTCTTCTTGCCAGCACCCTGTCTGTAGTAGCAGAGTTTTCATTGTATGGACTACTACCCTGTCTTTTTTTTTTTTTTTTACCCTAGGTAATTCAGAATTATAGTTTGTCACTGGTCTGCTTCCAGTGGAGTTCGAACTGGGGTCTGTACTTCAAAAGTTCAGGGGTGTACTAACTCAGCTAGGCAAGTGGGTACCCTGCCTTCTTCTTTTGGTAAATCATAAATGGAGGTCTGCTTTTTTCTTTTTTTTTGGGAAAATTGGATCTGTACCCCATTTAAACCACCAGTGCCTCGCCCAGCTATTGATGCCAAGTTGATGCCAAGTTTGCCAACCCTAAAATCGCCCTGCACGCCCCCCCCCCAAAAAAAACGAACCGATGCGGGCCTCCTTTTGGCTGGTGCCACCAGCCATTTCGGTCTGGTAACCGACCCCGAAAGATGCGGTTCTATAAGAGCCGCATATTTATTTTTCAAGCGGGGAGAAGTACTGGTGGTTTAAAGATGGGCATACCCGCTATACCCAGTCCCAACGCCCAACTTGCATCTATACGCAGGAAATGCCCTGTGCAAATCATTTGCATACCAGGGACCGAGGTGGGCCAAGGTTGGTACCACTGAATCGCTATGCCCGTTACATTTCAGTAAGGTGAACTGAAACGTACGTGTATAGAATTCTACACACAAAACAAAGGGCCGAAAGCCAGAGCACGTACCCGCATATAGTGAAATGTTATTTGAACCTTGACAACCCAACTTATGTGTTTAAACCTTTTGCAGATTTAAAAGGACTCTATCTTAGTCCGATTCAGTTATACCCAACTGAGGTTGCGGAAGCTGCTCTAGACAGGTTGGCTGTTAAGGATGGGACGTCAATCTCTACTCTGTTTGAGTCGATGCAGGCTTGTACTATTTCCTCTTTCATTTCACAGGTGTAAAGTATAGAGTTACTGATCTTAAAAAAGTCTGACCCTTCTTGTAGACCGGGGTCTATGAAGATTGGGTTGTGATCTAATCCATTGTGGTAGGGTAGTTTTCCTATACCTACGTTATCTATGGATCCTCTGAGGGATTCTGATACTAGAAAGAAGTCTATGGCTGAGTTGGTAATGTGCTGGGTTCTATTTCTTTTCCTGTACGTGAATCTATTTATCTCTGGGTGAAGTTTCCTTAGGGGTTCAAGTAGATTCCTTTCTATTAATAGTGTGTGCATTGCCTGGGCCTTTGTTTGTAGTTGACTTTCCCTTTTCCCTTGAGAGCATGACAGTCTGTCCCTAGTTGGGTCCAAGGTTGTATTCCAGTCCCCTACTAGGAGTCCATGTTTTTGGTCGTTACACATTGTTGTTATGCTCTGTATGAAGATTTGTCTTTGGGCCAAGTCGTTCGGGGCGTAGGCATTTATGAGTTGGAAGGACTCTTCCTTGAAAGTGAAAAGTGATCCTATCCATCTGTCGTGTTCTAGGTTTGTTCTGTTGCGTTCTATTTGTATTAAGTTGGCTGCTGTTGAGTTACTGTGCCAAAGGATAGTTGTTCCTGCAGATCCAGCTCTTGGGGCCAGTGCCCAGGATGCTGCTCACACGTATTTTAGTCTTAGTAGAACTTTGTTGATTATAGCTCTGTGTTATGGGGAATCAGTGAGGTGGGTTTACTGTAGACATACTATGTCTGGAAAGTTTTTAAGAACCATTTTAGATAGTTGGTCAAGTCGTCCCATCTGTCTATGCTGGTCAAGATTGTAGCTAACCCATCGACATTCCATGACATCACTGAGAGTACAGGCTCCTTAGGTTTTAGGTTATATTGCTTGGGCATGTTACCCACCTGAGTGAGCATGGGTTGTTGTTCTGGCATAGAAAGTTAGTGGAGACCCCGTTGCGCTTGTGTAATGTGGTGTTTTAATTGTCAAGGGACTCGAAGTGATAAGACTGGCGAATCTTGACCACATGCGCCCTCTCTGCCAAGACCAGTTCCAAGTGATCTTCCCTGTCGTTAAAGAGTGTGTGACTCTCAACTATCGATGTTGAAACCACTGCTCTTTCATGGGGGATATCGCCTCCCATGAACCCATAGGGGATAGCCTGCAGGACCTTCCATGGCCTCCAGACCAAGTGGTCAGTGAGTTGAGTCTCCATTGAGTATCTAACCATGAAGGGTCTTAGGTCGCTGAACACTAGTGTCCTATGAGTCATCAATCCATTCTTCTCTCCAGTCTGCTCTCTCGCCCAAAATGTGTGCAGCGCTCGGGGAGTCTTCAAAGATGTTAGCAACCAGGACTTTTTCATTGGGGCCTGCTAGGGCTATCATAGACCAGGAATTGCTTACTGCAATTTCCCAATCTCCATACTATTGATTCCAGCGGTATGGTATGATCACTCTCTTGTTACCACCACTCTTGGCTTCTGGTTTGGCTGCTGTGAAATTTCCGCATTTTGTCCCAGCGCTTTGCTTTGCAGGTTAATTGTTTCCCCGAGTGTTTCTCTTTTGCGGTCCTTGAGGACTGTAATCTGAGCCAACAGTATTTCTTTTTGTTTGTCCAGGTCCTCTTGTGTGCTCAGTTGATTCTCTGCCTCATTCTCCTCTTCGTTCTGTTTGTCATCTGTTGACTCTTTGTCCTTCCCTTTTTTGCTCCTTATCCTTTTGTTGGGATGCATGTGTGTTACTTCATTGTACAACTTTGGCCACTGGATTAGCCTGTGTGAGCCTACTGTGTGCTTCTCTGGGTTGTCCAGTGTGTGGCTGTATCGCTCTACAAAGAAGTCTGAAAGTTGTTGTTCCTTTTCCAACACCTCAAATTGGTTCTGGATAGGGATTTGACTGTTGATTTCTTATTGTAGGAAGTTGAAGTTTTTCAGGTCGAGGATGTGTCTTTTGTATGCCACGCATACCTCAAAACTCCACATCCCTTTCCCTTTCCAAATTCTTTACATAGTCATTCAACCATTCATGTGAGTCTGTTCCTTCACCCTCTCCCTCTTGAGAGGTTGTGACCTCTTCCTTTGTGTCTTGCTTTGTTCCTTCCTCTGTTTGAATGTCCATCAAATCCTTTGGTTTGGGGGTGTGGTTTTCTCCTTCTACACCCTTCCTCCCATCAGCCTCTATTGGAGTTGGACTTGGAGTTGGACTGACTTCCTTCTCACCCATCTTCCCTTTACCTGATGCATCGTGCTCCTCTTCTTTGGATGACGTGGCCATTTGTTTTGTTGTTGAGGCTATACCCCCTAGACTATTCACCCTGCTGATTTTGTTGGCAGCCTGACTGGGTGTTCACTGGGCTGCGGAGGTGTTATCAGCCTTCCGTTTGAGCACTGTGTTTGAAGATTGGGATGTGTTGTCGTCAGTGCTTGGCTGTGATTGGGCTTTTTTAAAAGTTTTCTCAACACTTCGTCTCTTGCGCAAAGGTTCTTAAAAAAAGTTTTTTTCACCGGACTCACCTGTTTTAACAAACTCATGCCAGGTTTCCCTTCTCTGTTTGTCTTTTGTAACCACTTGAGGGTAAAGGAGATTCTCTTTTAAGAAGCCGCCATCTTTGTCATCAATTTTTATGGCTCCCTTTATTTGCCATTGGCTTCCATGTGGCGGGTAGATGTCTAGCTGGGTGGCCGGCTCATTCTCGAGTGTCCAGATCCACTAGGGGTTTTCCAATGTGTCATAAAAAAACCCAGCCTCTGTAGGCAGGGTCGTTGCCATACTACAGTTCGGCCTTTGCTTCACACTCAACTAGATTGGCTTGAACTTGGCCTGGTTTGGCTTGTCTGTCCCTGTTGAGAGGGCAGTTCCTGTCTATACCCAGATGACCATTCCCTCTGCATTTAAAGCAACGAGGGTTTGTTTTCGTAGAAAGAAAAGTGACCATTTTCTGCCCATTTTTCTTTACGAAAACCCTTGTGTCTGGGAACTAAGGGGGGACTCCTGAAGTGACCTGCAGGCAAACAATTTTGGAATCATTGTTTGAAGCCATAAATTCAGGGTCTGTTTCAAACCATTCCAAGACGGGGTTTGTTCGGGTAGGACTTCCCAAGTCTTCTTTCTATGAAGTTGTGGAGTTCTTCCGCAATGTTGTCAAACTGAACCCAAAAGTGTTCTCTCAACATGGCTTGCTTGTGTCGTGAAGTTTTAGGCTGTGGGGCTCTTCTAGGTTTCCATTTTGTAACTGTTACGACCCCTTTTCTGCATTTCAATGTGTTGAGTGAGGTGAGGTATCTAGCGTAGGCTCTGTTTGAACTGACGATCATGACCGTGTTTCTTGATCTCTTGTGGTATGTGACCATTGGCTCTGTGCCTGGGATTTCTTCGAGTGCTCGAAGTATATCTCGTAACCAGGTTCTTTAGTCATTCGGTGACATGTCTGAGCACTTGTGAGGAAAATTGAAGAGGACTGCATGATTTTCAAACACTTTTCTGCAACTTTCTTCGTCTTCCTCTGGGTATTCCCAAATTTCCACAGTTTGGGTCGAGTCATTTTCTCCTTTGATTGTTTCCTTGCTAATGTTTTCTTTGGATTTGACTTGGTTGCCAGATATTAGGAAATTCATTGCTCTCTGACTCAAGGATCTGTGCCTTGAGTTAGTTGTGTGCTGCGACTGTTCCAACGGCGGAGGCTCTGTGCCCGAGTGTCCTTGGCTTGGATCATGACCCGTTCATTCTAAAGGACCAATGGGTGTCATTTGCGGATCTGGGTCTGAACCAGCTGGTAGATTGGGTACATCTTTCCCTGGGGTTGCTACCACTTCGCTGTAGGAATGTGCCATGGAGTTGTGTTTGTGATTTAGATCGTTGTTGAAAGGCGTTGGTTGTGTTTGGAGAGTGCAGTCTTTTCTGAGAAGAGCGGAATCTTGAGTGCTTTTGACTAGGGTTGTGTGTTTGAGAGTGTGGGTGACGAGCTGTGGTTGTGAAAATTGGTCAGATGACGAGTCCTGAGGGAGTGTGCGAAGTGATAGATTGGGAAACACTTATCGGAGAGGTATGTTAATTGTTGTGTTCG